TCTTCCAAGTAAACAGTTTCTTTGTTTCGCTTTTAGGTTGAGCTTGTTTTCTTTTGAATTTTATGTGCTTTGCCCAGGTCAGTCTTCCATTCTGATGCATGCCCAGGCATTTCACCTCATTTTTCTGAGGTAGATCAACATTGCCCATTTGCACTGTCAGACAGGTTTGGCTGCATAGGAGGAATGTAATATGAATGGATTTGCTTTGATTTATTTTAATTCTCCATTTCTTTGCCCAGTCATCAATCTTATTGATGGTAAATTGCGTTTATGAAGGCAATACATTATCTTTAATTTTCCTATGCAATATAGTCTCAACATTGACAGTGTCATTAAACAACATTTTTAAGAAAAGAAGTAATTAATTCCCAAATACAAACTGAGATAATAATCCTGGGTGTTATGGGAGTTTTTGGACAGACTGTAAAATCATTTGAACAATTAATTTGCAAAGAAATGTTAATCTACATGTGGATACTATGTGGGTAAGAGAGAAATATATGCACAAAAGAAAGAATCCATCATTTGTCTGCTGGCAAACACACAGCTGGATTGCAAGGAACAAAGCTGACTCCAAATTTGATTCCAAATATTGCAGCTGATCCTGTGTGTGTTGTTTCTATCATTCCAATCTGAGAATATATATTCAGCCATGTGTGGCCTTATGAGTTTTACAAGAGAGGAGCTTTGTTTTCTAGGACATAATGCCACGTAGTCTGTTGAAAGTCAACCAATGTTTCGGAGGAACATGTCACCTCCATATTCAGAGTTAAAGAATAGGCAAAACAAGAAACAAGCATGAAGCTGGTTGCTACTTGCTTCATTCATTTTTGCCTAAATTACATATTAATATGTAATTCATACAAAAAATAACTCTTTGTGATTATTTCCTTCATCATTGTATTAGCAGAAACTTGACTGGTCAGTGGAGAAATTCTCAGGAATAAACAATAAAACAGATTCATGAAGGAATGTTCTTGAATAGAGTTTTCTAACAAACAATGAATGAAACAAAAGTAAAATATGTGATCTTAATTTCTGAGTCACACTACAATATGTTGATTGATGTTTCAGAATGTTTCTATTTCAACAGGTTTACTGTTTCTTTGTTTTATCTGTGGTGACAGCAGTGAAAATTGTATACATGTACCATGCAAGAATTTCTTTATTAATCTATTTCATATCTGGATTATGGGTTGGTTATTTTGTTTTGTAATGACTAGATACAAAATTCTTGAAATATCAATTTCAGTAATAGTATAGGTTAACTTGTTTCAGGTATAATATACAGTAACTCTGTTTAAAGACTGTAAGAATAATCAGAGAAGTGTTACAGTTCTTTATAAATTTCTGTGCATATGCATCTGAAATTCAATCTAACTACATTTCAAAGATAAACCTCTTGTAGTCACATGCAAACATTATTTTCAAACACCGCATCCTCAAATGTACATCAAAATAATCACTTTTACTCAAATGATACTCATTATGAACTCTTATACATCTAAAACAAAATTATGATCAATTTTATTTATTTTGTCCCTTCACACAGACATAATCTGTTTACTTATATGATACACGATGTGAAAAGATGAATATGATAAATATGGTAACTGGTAGATCTAATGTGATTGATCAGTGATGGCAGCTTATAATTTATCTAATTTTAGAATATTAGAAAAAGAAATACAGTCCAACTAAGATTAATATTCAACAAAAAACATGTTATAGAGTGCAGTTTTTTAACATTATAACATTATGTGCTGAACATTTATGTTTTTAATATTCAACTATTACATGATCTTGTTATGAAAAATACACAATGGTATATTTTGGCACCAATCACTAGGAAATCCACTCATGAAATTTCTCAGAAACTTAATCAAACATCATTATAAAGAGCTTAACAGTAATGATTAGTTAGAATTCAAGAAGACGAACAGATTTAAAGCAAGATGGCTGATTATTACCTACTGAGGTCATGTAAAAACAGTGGCACTGATGATGATTATCAACATCACTATTTATTCAATCTGTAGATTTGTGTTCCTAACCACTTTTGGTCAATGTGCTCCTTGGTCTCAGAGTGAGACTTGGCAATCCATTTTTCAATGGCAACTTCATTTTTATCTCAAAGTACTACTGCTACCATTCAGTTCAGAATCTTTTGACTTCTCATCTGCTGCCTAAAAACATAGAAATTAAAATATACAAAATTACAATTTTGCCTGTGGTTCTGTATGGGTGTGAAGGTTGGTTTCTGACGTTAAGAGAGGAACATAGACTGAGGGCGTTTGAGAAAAGGGTGCTGAGGAGAATATTTGGACTGCAGAGAGATTAAGTGACAGGAGGTTGGAGAAAACTGCATAATGAGGAGCTTCATGACTTGTACTCTTCACCAAGTATAACTAGAATGATCAAGTCATGGAGGATGTGATGAGCAGGACATGTAACACGAATGTGGGTGAATGGGAATGTATATAGGATATTGCTGGAAAAGCCAGAAGGAAAGACATCAATAGACAGACCAAGACATAGGTGAGTGGATAATATTAAAATAAATCTTACAGAGATACGATGGGGTGGTATGGACTGAATTGATCTGGCTCAGGACAGGGACCAGGGGAGGGCTCTTGTGAACATGGTAATGAACATTCGCATTCCATAAAATGCTGGGAATTTCTTGAGTAGCTGCACAACTGGCAGCTTCTGAGGAAAGGCTCAGCTCAATGAAGTCAGTCAGCTAGTTAGTAAGTTAGTTAGCATTATGTCATATGCTACATACCTCACAGTTACCTTAAAAATAATTGCAATGCAGATTTTTCTGCGCTGTTGAGTTAGTAGGTTTTGTGAATTTATCTTTAGCAGTATATGATGAAATGCAAAATCCAGGCAATGGATATGGAATTTCTGAGAAGTGCTGAGGGAAATACAAGAAATGACAAATTTTAAAATGCAGACAATTTTGAATTGAAAACTTGTAAAGTGAATTAGAAGAGAAAAGCTTATAACGGTTTTGGCACATAAAAACAATGGAGAGGAAGAATGCCAGAATGGAGATTAAAATTAAACTTTAAAGGAAAGAGAAGTATCAGATGACCCAGAACAAGATGACATCAAGAAGAAAGGCAAGGCTGGCAAGAAATTGATAATGATTGTGGGAAGACAGAAGATGCTGTAGAAAGAATGATGGATTGGTTAGTAGATTTACAACTGCAGTATTATCAGCATACATAAATGTCGTACCTCCTTTTAAACTTGGGGAATCATTGATATATATGATGAAAAGTAAAGACCATCACCCAGAGGGACTCACAGTTGACAGGCAGACTGAGAGACAGGAAACCATTCAAGAGTTTGCCTTCCATATAAACTGCTTGTATTTACTATGTCAAATGTATGAAGTAATATTTAATATAATCATGTGGGCAGTCATGTTCAACTCATGATTTATAATTATTTCATGATGGTGTGTCAAGAACTAAACATATGCACATCTAACAGTACTCCTAATTATACTCAGATAATGAAACAATATAAAGAATTTATGCTATATGAAATGGTGAAACCTTAAAAATTGTATCCAAGACATGGAAGGAAAAGTATGACGTAAGAGACCAGAATTGCGGCATCTCTTAAAACAAATTTTGAATTACATGGATATCATATATACTGCACTTACATATACATTTCAAGATTTATTTCATATCAGTGCTAAAAGGGAACAGAGACAGCATCAGTAATATTATTATCAGTACCAGCATCATTATTATTATTATTATTATTATTATTATTACTATTATTGGTGATGATAGCAGAAGTAGTAGTAGTAGTAGTAATGTAAAGTTGTCCCTGTACTTAATTAGTTATGCACTATGCCATGAATACATATGGGGGAGTGGAGGTATAGCTCCAAAATTACTGATGTCGGCACTAGATGGAGATGAGTGGTCAGCTTCATGCCCTGCTGCTTTAGCCCTGGAGAAAGTACACATTGGATAGGAGACTGGGTGGGCACCAAAGCTTGTCTGGATGCTGTGGAGAAGATAAAAATCTTACACTGACAGGAATCGAACCCAAGCTTTCCAGTTGATAGCCCACCGTTATACTGACTAAGTTATCGCAATTCCAGTAGTAATAGCAGAAGTAAATGATCTGTAACATGTTTAAAATTTAAAGAATAAAAATTTCACTTGGTCACAATTTCCTCTTATGACAATCTATGCATAAGTTCTGCATCCTAACTGGCTAAATTAAATTTAATTCTTGTATTATTAATTTACATGAAACGTTTATCTAAATATAATGTTAATAGGACCAGATTTGTCAGATGAGATTTCAGTGCAATAACAAAAGTAGGTTTTATTTGTTCTGCTTTGAACTCTTTGTTCAGTCTTGTTGGTTATTTAATTTCCACTTAAACATGCGTAAGCTACAAATAACAGCAGTATTATTCACTCACTTTCTCATTTATGTGAATGTCTAGAACTGTTTGCAGTCGTATGAGCTTCTTCTAGATAATTATTGAGGTGAGTTCCTGGAAGGATGAGAATTTATTAAATATGTGGTATGACCATACAGGTTACACGGTATTTATATATGAAATTGTTTTACTTATGAATAACTGGTAAATAAACGTAAGGAGTACTATCACAGTGTTTGCCTCAGTCACAGAAATGGCACCAGACACTGCCGCACACTGCCTGCTTAGTTCCAGAGGGAGTTTTTATACTATTACTTGAAGTGGGAAGTCAGGATAGCATAGTTGGTCTAGCAGCTGGCTACGGGCTGGACGACCGTGGGTTCGGAGTTCGAGTCCCTGTAAGGTCAAGAATTTTCTCTTCTCCACATTGTCCAGACCAGCTCTCAGGCACACCCACCCTCTTATTCAATGGGTACTGGGGGCACTCTTTCTCCGGGGGTAAAGTACCTAGATGTGAAGCTGACAACACACCTCCAATTAGTGCCGAGGTCAAGAAAATGTGGATCTATACATCCACACCCCCATAAGCCTTCTTGGTATAGTGCTTAATTAGTTATGTGCAGGGACAACTTTACCTCTTTTTTTACCACTTGAAGTGCCTTAAAATTGTGTAACTATTATTCCCAACAACGATACATGTATGAATGAATTCATGAATATGTATTGATATACTTTCCTTTATAACACGTTGGTTATTCCGGTGCCCGCCTGCAGATCTGGAGCATCTGTCTGGTTCTGATGAGTCCCTTCCCTCTTTTGCCTGAGAAATGCCATGATAAATATCGATCGGTATTACTCGCTTTCCACCTGGGGTTCGATTAAATAACCTGCCAGACCGAATGCATCTATAAATGTTACGCCACAGTATTAAATTGCTTGATTTATTCGCGTATATTTACGAATTAGTAGGTAACCTAAGTAACTTCAAAAGTTACCGCTATTTTGACTGCCATGTTAGCATTGCCAACCTTAGCATTTTACTTGTAACTATCGGTTGGCAACGCTAACATGGCGGTTATCTTTTGAAGTTGCCTGGTTTGCCGGCTAACATGTAAGTGCCATTCCTTGTGAATTTGAATTCAGGAGATCTATTTAGGTAAATTATAGAGTTCTTTAAAATATTTAAATACGTCTGACAATTTTCATGAATGGTGCATCCGAAGTGGGTAAAGCAGTGCTTTCCCAGATTTGTTTCCACATTTTTGATACTCTAAGGGCCACACTCACTGTTTGTCTCATAATTTATTCCTTTTTGCTAACAAGAAAAAACTGATTCTTTTTCTGCCCTGTTCTAAAAATATGCGTAATTTATTATGATCTTATCATAATTAGCAGCATGCTTATTACTTAACTCTCTAACAGTACATATTCACACAAGGAACATGACCTAAAAGGATTGTAACAGCGTGAAGTTTGATGTCCACCAACGTTTCGGGAGAATGTATTATTTCCATCTTTCGGTTCAACACACAAGTCAAGCAAGAAGCAGGCACTAGTTGCCAGTGTCGTGCTGGTTTCTTGTGTCTTATTATTCAACCCCTAAAATGGAGGTGATACATTTTTGCGAAATGCTGGCTGACTTATGCTGAAGTACACGGCGTTAAGACATAGAAAAATGTACTCTTCACAGTCACCTCTGTGGGAACCTCAAGTTTTTACATTAAGAAAACATGAAAAATGCTTTAGTCACTGAAAATATAAACACACAGTTTGGGCATCTGGATGAATTGCCATATTTACTGTCTACGTCATTCAAATGCTTACTCCTAACGGAAAAGAGTGAAACCAAAATTTATCTTAACAGCTCTTGGATTAAAAAACAATTAATTTCAGTTACCTCTGTTTCCTAGACAAATTGTGTTCCAGTCAGATTTAATGTTTGTGGTATATGGCACAGATCATGATCAAGGCTACAGAATATCACATCACTACAATTAACACGAGTAATTACAGCCAAATGCCCAGTCATGATCAATATAACTAATTCAGAAAGATGCTTCATAGTATTTTCTCTATTATCAGTCACACCAGTTGTGAGACCTTGCTTTTGTGAATTTGGAGCTCATACAAATATCATAACATAAACTTATGACTTATTCCTCTGAAGGGGCATGTGGTAGCGTAGTTGGTTGAGGCACCATGCTACAAGCTGGAAGGTCATGGGTTCACTTCCCAGTGAGGTCGTTGGATTTTTTGTTTGAACTAATCCTTCCAGCCGCACTATGACCCTGGGGTTGACTATGAGTACCAAGAATGTTCCTGGGGATAAAGGGTGGCTGGCTGCCGCATAAGGCTGATGACCTCACCGTCATCTGTGAGCAGATTGAATAGAAAAATGTGGGGGTGACAATGTCTCACAACCCTATTGGCCTCCACAGCCTGCTACAGGGATAGCTTTACCTTTACCTTATTCCTCTGAGAAACACATTAGTAACATGGTGGACATTGCTTATGTTAATAAAGTCCACATATAATTGTTTGTTTTACTTGTACTATATCCAGTGTCGACTACAATACTGCAAGAAGACTGTACTGTCATATCTCAAGTAGCTGAGTTTCTGAACTTGATAACACAACATTATTACTAACTTATAGGTCCTGCAATCATGCTAAGAATAATAGTAATTATTAAATATTATAGAACAAGAACTGGTTTACTAATTCATTTTGAAAGAGTGAAAGACCATGAGTCATCAGTTAACAATATTCTAAAACTAGACACTAATATAAATTTCCGTTGTTTTGTTCTATTTTTCTTCGTCATGAATGAACATACTGTCCATTTTGTGATATGCAAAGGTTTGTGAATTACTAACAATTACAGGAAAGGATTTAATTTCTACAACATCGAATCTACGAAAGATAAACTTTCAAATATAACATAGCATACTGTTTGCTATTAATGCTTATTTTTTGGGATGAAGTATGATTAAATACCACAAAATAATAACAATTATTTGTTTATGCTACACTGACTTATTATATTTAAGTTGCATGTCATGTGTGTTTGCTTAAAGAAAAGCAAGAAGACAAGGAAGGATAATTTAAAGCTTTCTCTTGGAGTTATTGTATATACAAGTACAATGAACAGTGATGGACACAGACAGGAATGCTTTGATGTGTTATTCCCAGAGCTTAGTATTCAAAAAGAAAGTGCTTATGGGCTATTTGTTATATAAACCAGCTTGCAGCCTTAGTGGTCCATTATTGCTGGGTAAATTTCTCTGAAGACTAACATGGAGGGAAAGGTAGACATCAGTTTCGGTATTCCACACGCACTGCGCTGCACTGCACTGCACTGCACTAACATGACAACAAATGGTGGAGATTCAATGCACTGAAACTTAATTTGTGTATTCCTTGTGTTTATGAAGTCTAGGACATATATCAAATGAAAGTTATAGATACTGGATCTATCTTATTTTGCTTACAGATTATTTTGTGAGATGAGTTATTCTGAGAAACTTCATAAAGTTTGATCTGATCTTCATATGAAGTAAGGATTAAAATATGACACGTGAGCAGACAGACACCACCTATCCATTATTTGCTCATTTTATGCACTTTATGCAAAGAAACCCATAAACATATAGCATGCTCGTTTTCCACATCAGCTGCCATCATGAATACAGACCATTAGTTTGTATCACTAAATGCATGATATGGTAATAAAACACAGCTTTTCAATAAGGTAACCATTGAATAAATGTTGTTAAAATGTGATTCAGTTCCTTACTACAGAAAAATTACAGGCTAATACCATGTTATCACAGTGCTCTACAAGTAATAAATTAATTGGTTTAAAGCCTATTGAAATAAGCATAAATTGTCATTTAAATTAACTATTCAGAGCAATATGTCACTGCTTTAGTCAGATCACCATCATGGCCATGCACAAGATATGCATCTCGCATTATGAATGTAATGAGAATGCTTCTAATTGTGTGGCCTTTGTTAATTATGTACTATAAAAAGTAAGCTATTTGCTTCAGATATAATGGGATGGGGACATTGGGCACAGACACTCACCATGTGTACAGCCTTTTGAGTTTTGAGGTTCTCATGATAGTGAATACTAAGATTGTGGTATTTTAGGATGTGATGCAAATTAGTCTGCAGCAACATTTCAGAGGAACCAGCTACCTCTATCATCAGATAGAACAACAACCCTGCATCCATGGAAAGTGCACTGAAAATTCATTACTAAATCATGTTTTCTTTTTAACATTTATAAACAGATATTAGTACTCCCCATATTCCTAACTGTTTCCATCACACCTTGAAAGCTATTCATTTGCTATAGTAATAGCAATAGTAATAATACACAATGTCAAAACATATTACTTCATGACTTACAGTATTGTTTTCAAATTTTGATTACATTATTCTAGTGTTACATTTCAGAAAGAAATTGTAATTGTAAACTTAACTTAGAATCACAGTGTTAGAACTGCTTATAATAATTGAAAGAAATGTAAATTTTAATGACATTAGCAGTCATAAATATATAGATTTATGAAGGCACTAAGCAGTGCTTTGCTTCAATTAACAATCACAGCACTCCACAACAAACCCAACAATGTATCCATTAATTTCTATAGAATTCACTTTGAAATCATGACATTTCTTTAGCCACTGAACACATTACATGTGACCATCACCGTTATATGCTATGTTTTACATATCTGTTCACACATAGTTGAGTAATTAGTGGATGAAGAATAATATTATGACAACAGTTATTGAATTACTCATGTTTATAATTGTCTAATATCAACAATTCTGAACCTACAATAATTACTACATCTGATAGCAAGTGGTATCTGCTGCAATCTCAATAAATAATGGGGAAGTTTTTTTACCCGCATCTGAAATTCTAAGGGAGTATACTCGTATTTACCCATGCAAGAAGAGTAGCTATGACAAACTAAAGTGGCGGCTTGGCACTGTACAAATTAAAGTGACACTTCTAGGGTTAATTTGTAGGAATAATGAAGAAATGGCTAAATATTTATAAACAGGTTAGACTAAGGAATATACTGAAAAGAGTTTACTTAGTGCTTTTGTAAATTATTTTCTGACAAACTGCTTCTAGCGCAAAGCATCACAAGGCTAATGGTTTAATCTGCTGACCAGAGTTCTTTTTAATGCCTGCTTGGAAAGAATAACAGAATCCACTTCTGAGGTGACAGTATTTCTAGGCTTTGCTTCTGCTTACTCCTGTTGTAGGATGTAACAGGGAAGGAATATGTTTGTCCTGATTAGGGAGATAAAAGACTGTGTCACATGTACTGGATGAAGATTTATTTGTGAATGAATAACCAGTCAGTAAAATCTCAGTATTTTTAACAGTTAAAACNAGAACAGACAAGATGATGGATAATGTCCAGCAACATATTAATTGTAACAATTTACCATCATCATAAACTTTTAGATCTTAGTTAAAACTGCTGTTAGAAATAATAAACTCTAGAATTTGAACACATATCACAATGTCTTTATCATCTCATAATGGCTTAAATTACTCTTCTCTGATTTTATGAACAACAATTCTTTCAAGGGTTTACTTAAGAGTAATTATTTATTTTCAGCAGAGGGATGTGATAGTTCAAACTAATTCAGAATACTGCGGGTGATTTCTATTAAAGAAATATTGTAAGAAGGACCATTATTTAGAAGTTTTATAAGGTAAACCTCAGAATAAATTTCAAGAAAAAACATATAATGGATGTCTGCAGATGTCTCAGATTGTGTCACCCTCTTGTAAACTGTATTTAGATGCTGAGAGGTGATTTTCATTAGCTACTCAAAGACCACAGTAAGCACAGTTCAGTCTTTCATTCAGGAATTATTATTCCTGTAGCAGAGTGTTCTGTATGACTACCTACATGATGAGAAGTTCCTTCATTCCCATAACACCAGCAAGGAGGCTGTAAAATATTCTGTGATATTACCTGAATTATCCATTGTAAATAATAAATGAGTAATGATCTGCTTCGAACTGTAATGTTATGAAGTTAAGACACAACAGACATTACTAAATCATGAGTCAGGATAGCTCAGTCCATATAGTGACAGGTTACAGGCTGGACAGCT